CCCGCACCCCCCCCCCCCCCCCCCCCTCCCCCACCGTTCCACATAGCCCCCCATTGGCAAAACCCTGGCTACGCCTCTGCATCCTGGAGACAAGGTAGGCCTAGGCCTACTCTGTCTTCACGGACAAATTATAGTTTTGCAAATTAATTCGTACCACTTTTTCATCTTTGAAGAGACTCGAGAGAGTAGAAACCCAGTGTTTCTTTTCGTTGCACGTTACAACGTGCGACCAGCATCGGTGCATAGCAGTCGTTTCACGTAACGTTAGGTCCCATGGTCAACATAAGGGACAGGAAAATCCGTCACGCCTAAAGTGAACCCCTCTGAACGGCCAATGGCCATCGCGCCTGATTCATCAGTATCACACGTGATTTCCGACCCTGTCCTCGATCTCTTGGAGCATCCGAATCCCGAACACACATTGGCCTTGACTACCCTAGAGAGTACCCTGCCCCACCATCTCGTCGACGATAACAATCTTCGACTGCCCCGTCCGGTCTACTCATATTCACCCTGTCTCTGATTTCTTTGCTCGACGGCTCAGAATCGCCTGGGAAAGTCATTCGCGACCGAGCAGATACAGGTCAACGATTTTCGGGCATGTGCGAGAGAGCCCACGTGCCCAATCGCGACGTTCCTCCCTTCGAACGACAGAGACGGAGTGGAAGCCCCGCCTGATGCGCGGCCGAGTGCGATAGAAATAGAAAATTACCAGTATTAGTATATAATAGACGTAATAATATAGTAGGATAGTCCAGTGGCGTAAGCCTGAGGGAGCTGAAGCCTCCCAACCGTTTGTCAGCCGCATGGCAACGCCTCCCCGTTTGTCATTCGCTGCCATGTTACTATGCCCCCCTTAAAATCTTGTGTCTTATAATAAGTATCATATGATAATACGAGTTTTTTTTTAATCCGGTCGGAAATTGCCGTCGTCTTTTGTATCGACTTCCGCTTTCCCGAAAGTGCAAAGGACATGGCTTTTACATGTGCTCCCAGATTTTCTTCGGAAGGAAAGGAAACCTTCGAAGGTTTCGTGCCGGGGAGCAATCAACCAGAATGATATTTTTCAAATGCACGGATGCCGTGAGAGACAGCATTTAATCGAGGCCCATTTGTCAGAGGCAGGGGCATGCACCTGGCATCCCTGGCCGGGGAATTTTCGCCAGTCGCGGGAGTGTTGCTGGACGCGGCTGTCGGTCCCCGGATGAAATACGACCCCGTTTGTGTCCCACATTAATGGCCCGGCCGTCATCGTGGATGGAGGGGGGTCGCGTGGACGCCTTCCACGGGGCCTGCGAGCGATGACACGCGAACTCCTGCGTCTTTGGCACGACGGGGATCGTAATTGCTTCCCAGGTATTTCGTCTTTCCTTTACGAGTCGAGTGTCGTCGTCCTCCGTGAAGGACATTTTCTTCTCGGTCCGATTCTGCATCGATTTTACATCGAGAATGGAGGGTGGGTAGGCCCTTTGCTAAAGTTTTGGGGAAATCGATGCTTACGCGATTGAGAACGGTCTCCGACCGGAGAAAGAGAAAATTGGCTTTAAAAAAATGGCCCATTGGCCGAATCCCTCCTCGCGGAAAGTCCGCGATCGAGTCCGATCGCTCTCTTCGCGAGAGTTCCCAGTCTCCGAAACGGGAGCCATCACCGGCACATGAGCTTTATAGACTTCCAGAGACCTGCGATTCGCTCCTGCATTTCCTCGTTTCGTGTTCGTACCGGCTGCTGATCCTTGTCAGGCCGCTGATCCTTATCAGACTGCAGAACAAATCACGAATGTGTGCATTTCTTTTTTGGAAACCTCACGGCAGAGAGACCCCCTTGTGACCGAGTTGAGGTGAAGAACGATTCGTGGACGTTGCATAAGTCTCCTGTATCTTTATATCGCACCTGGAATAGCGTCAGAGCCAATCGACCAGCCTAAGATCCTCATCTCCCCCCCTCCCCCCCCCGTCCCCCCCGTCCCCCAGCCTAAGAACAAAATAAATCTAACTGCGATCTAAGTCGCATTTGCAGAAAATGTCTGAGCGGGTGATAAGCCTGAACACTCGTCCTCCCCCCCCCCCCCCTCCCCTCACAGCCAATCTAAACAATCTCGGGATCTTCAAGGTCTCCCTCAAGTCCCCCCCCTTCCCCCCCCTTCCCCCCTCCCTCCCTCCATCCTTCAAAGTACCGGCGCATATCCCCTTCCAATCGGACCCATAAAGGCGAGGGGAGGGGGAGGTGGACGATGGGGGAGGGACATCGAAGGCGGCTTCGCGTGCGCCGATGCATTCTGCTGATAGACGGCACTGATCGGCGCGGAAATTAGCTCCCTTTCCCTCATTACCCATTCTGGATCTCATAAAGATTATCCGCTTCTCCATCTCTCGCGTCTCGTCGTCCGAATCGACAAAGTGAAATCTTCCATCTTCCTCCTTTCCATCCGGGCGTTTCCTCATGGAGGGTCGTGGTGAGTCGCCATCGCTCAGATTTTTCTTTCGTTTTTTACAAATATTTTCTCTCTTGCCATTTCCGTTTTACTTCTCGCAGTCGAATCGAACGAATTGCTCCCAATGAGCAACTCGTTCGTTGCAGTAGTGCAGGATTGCTTTAAATTTGCAAGATTCCGCGATTTCGACACCGATTAAAGACCTTAAAAGTTTCACAAAAATTCTCAGGGTTTTTTTCCTTCAGGACCCACAAAATCCTAGTTACATTTCCATGCACATCTGATGCACATCTGCTACCCGTAGAAGGAGAAGGAGAGAAAGCGGAGAGAGAAAGGAAGGTGGACACCTCCGACGGCCTCCACCGGCGATCGGCGAGGCTCCTGAGGGAAATCGAGCACAAGGTCAAGGGCTTTCTCCCGGTCGGAAAGGCCGTTGGCTGACCTTTCTTCCGTAAATCCTTTTCTCTCGTCAGGTTTCGGAACTGGCGGAGATCCTGGAGGACGTTCGGGACAGGAAACTTCGGTCTTCGTTGGAACATGGTCTGGAAAGCACGAAGGAGGCGCTGGAAGCAGCCTGCCCGAGACCTTACTGGACGGGTCATGCCCTTAAAGGACATCGGGTCAGTGGATTATGTGTCGATCGCAAAAGGAACGGAAATTCTCTGAAGAAATCCGTATATATTTCAGATAATTCATTTCAATTCACAGAAAAACTTAAAATTTACGAATGTGAAGACGAACTTGAAAGAAAAAGGGGGCTCGTCGGCCTGCAAAAATATGTAAAAAATATCACCAAGGAAATTAGACCATGGCTTTGCAAATTTGCGCACGAATGATTGGGTGGTAGGTGAATCCCTGCAAGACGACGAACGCGTCCAGCCTGAAGCTGGTGGCGAACCTAAAGGCGGAACGGCACTCCCTGTGCCAGCGGCTGCGGGAGCTGGAGGCGGAGGTGGAGCGGATCAGGCTCTTCGGCGTCTCCACCGCCACCACCTTCCAGGGCGTGAAGGTCGACGAGGTCCGGTGCGACTGGGGCGAGGAGGACGTCCTCGGGGAAGGACGCTTCTCCACCGTCTTCAAGGCCACGTTCAGGCAGTCCACCGTCGCAGTGAAGCGGATGAAGGCGTCGCTGCAGGTACCGTGCACACACCGATGCTCCTATGCAGGATGACCTACAAATTGGTTTTGCGACTTTGAGATGTGTATCTCAGCGTCTTTTGGTCGTATGATCTTAGATCTTTGTAAATTAGTTCATTATACTACGAGGAGAAAGTCTCTGAGTAAAAAATCATCACCTATAAGGAACACCACACGAGCTGGAATGGCTGTCGCAATTGGTCGTCGACATTGAGGAAAATTAATATTTCAAAGAATCATCACACTAACGCCTATGATGTGATGTCTACCATCATCATATTTATAGGTGAAGGTATTGGACCCATAATCCTTCCCATAGTCCAGTGCAGCGGTCTCCAAACCTTTTGAGGCGAGGACCACTCAGATACCTTGGTCCACCTTGAGTGGGCTGCATCGAACAAATCTGCAAATTTGCTAAATTTATGTTAAGTGAACCCTTTCAAGTCTCCGCTTCGCTTCCAGATCGAGCTCCTTTAAGCCAGGAAAACTTATTTTAAAGTGAGCAGGAATCAAAAAGTGCCTTCACCTCCCGCATCTACACACAATTCATTTCGATAAACACCAATTTTTTTCTCTTACCATTTATTATTTGCTGGCAAGGCGTTTGTCCTAGCAGTAAATGAATTCTCTACATTTTTGGCAGATTTCAGCAGAACCACACTTAAATGTATAAATATCTGATTGTAAATGAGTAATTAGAAGAATCTGAACTACCTGAATATCTAAACAGACTGAAAAAGTCATTTATAAGGACGTCCTCGTGGGCCGCATAAAATCATAAAATGGGCCGCAGTTTGAATACCGCTGGTGTTGTGAGTTCCTTCATCAAGATTCAAGAACTTACGACCCATATAACAGGGTTGGACAAAAAAAAACATTTACCAATATGAAAAGGTCATAACTTTATCGTTATGGGATATTTTCTGGGGAATTTAAAAAAATTATTATGAATACATATGCATGGGAGTTTTATAATGCACTGATATTTTCAGCTGTACTCCCTTAATTTTGTTTTCATCTAATGATTGATCATATGCTCAATGCCCCTTCCTCGCAGCCGAATTACCGCTGATAAAATTTTGCATTTATCATGTCCATCGGATTTGTCTTATTCTCTCTTGATGTCATTTAACTCAACTTGGAATGATTCGCATACTTTTAGATAGCTCCCCCGTGTTTAAAGTATTGAGGCTTGGAGAGTGCAGTGCAGCTGTGCTTCGTTCGATGGGAAATTAAATGACTTTTAAGCCAAAGTCACACTCCACACACAGCTACAGCTGTTCTGCTTTGAAAAGCAATAGGTCCGAATGCACGAACCTCATTTAGGGGAGATAAAGGGCCCTTTAAGCTAAAGAGCTATTTTCCTCCCATAGGAGTTCGTGTATTCCTGAAGGACCGTTAGCTAAGTTTCAGCATTCCTTTGCTGTTTGTGACGTGCTGTTCTGAATTTGCTGAAGAAACATTTTCCAGGCGGTCGTTTACTTTCTTATCGAACGAAGCACGTCTGGCCGTCGCACTCAATCCTTTAAACTTATTTCTCTTGGGTTATTCGAAAGACAGGGTCCATGTGAATAATCCTAGGTCACTAGTTGAGTTGAATGACAACATCAAGAGAGTAACGAGACCAATCTGACGAGGTAAACAGGGCAGCGTGCAATTTTAACTGTCGCGGATCGGAGGTAATTCGGCGGCAAGGAAGCGTGTGATCAATCATTAGGGAAGAAATAATTAAGAAGGGGGAATAGTTGACAATATCTGCGCGCTATGAAAGTCCCATATGATCATATGATATCGATGTATTCATTTAAAAAAAAGCTATTCCCCAGAAAATATCCTGAAACAATAAAGTTATGACATTTTAATTGTTTATTAATTTAATTGTTTAACTGTTTGCTTTGCTCCGCCCTGTATGCTGAGATAAACATATCTGAAAGGTCAAACCAATCTTTTTGCTAACTTGTATTCTTGAAGCGCTGGAGCGTAAATGTCCTTGCACCCTTTTGGCCGTTCCGTGACCCCGAAAAAAAATTAAAGCAAGGCTTTCAAAGCGAAGTTAGGTCATTACCTTTTATTTTTAATTCGTTGCGACACTTTCCATCTTGCGAGAACCAGAGTCCTCCTTTGTCGCAGGCTCCACTTTCCCTTTCATGACGAAAATTATTTTTCAATTAGCTTTTGTCCAGGGAAAATGAATCCCAAGGGAAGAAAGGACCGTCCAACTCGCCGCCGTGCATGTCCTACGCCCGAGAACGAATTGAGAATTCTGAAAGTCACCCGACCCCCTGCGTAATGGACCGGAAGAAAAAATTTCGCGCACGCTGCAAACGAACCGTAAATAAGCGAACCGCGAAGGAGCTTTCGCTTTCCCACGGAAGACAATCGAGTAGGGGTCAAAGTTGCTGGCAAATAAGGAAGTTAAATATTCACGTCGCAGAACGGAGCGACCTCGTCGTGATTTGACAGATGCCCTAATATAATAACGGCGGTCGCTCGAGGTGCTTTGGTCTGCATGAAGCGCCCTACTTAGCCCGACGTGAGAAAATTCCTCACGCGTAGGAACTCAATTATTGCGGTTTGTATGAAAGGAGTCAAAGGGAGCCGCGACGTATACGCTCCGCCGTAGTCTACGTTGCACGCCAATTTTCCCTAAGGACATGCAAGGACTTTAGCCTTTGAAACAGGAGTGGGAGGCGCGCGAATACGCGAAGTGGGAGGCGTGCGCCCTGAACAAGGCCCGTCACCCCCGGATCCTCCAGCTGCTCGGCGCCTTCGAGTGCGAATCCGGGAGCCCCTGCCTCATCCTCGAGTATCTCCCGGCGGGCTCCCTCTTCCACCGCATTCAATTCGTCGACGAGTGAGTCCACGCACTCGAGTCCGATTGCTGAAATCGCATTCAGGCGAGACGAGAGGCTCTTCAACCTGAAGAGCCCCATGAGTATTTGGATTTATGGAGGGTCGTAAAGGGGCTTTACGATCAGAGTGAATAATGTATGCAAATATTTTTTTTTCCTTTCTGCAGGGAAGGGCGGCATATGCAAATGGTAATAAGGCTTTGAGAATTCCCAGTAATAAAAGACCTTTAATTTGTACTTTTAAAAGGCGCCTCCTCCCGTGAGAAACTCATGTGCATGGTACACTCCGCGTGCTTTTCTTACGTGGAAAATTCTTTTTAAAAAAATCTTCGATTAACTAGTTCTTGGGTTCGAACATAGCGTTGTCTATGATGTTGCCCAGTGACGGTGTCTGATTAGCCGATTGTAGGCTTCATCGTTACCAAATGGGTAATTTGGACTTTCGACTCCCAATTTGTAACACTTTTGATGCAATATAATGCGCAGGTCCCTGCAACAGTTTTCTTATAGTGTATCAACCAAATGCTTTTCGAAGTGTGTCATATGACACACTTGGAAAAGCATATGCTTGCACGTGTGTGAAATTTTTAGAAAATTGTCAACAGCTGCATCAATTTATGCTCTTCAATTTGTTATTATTATTATTATTATTATTATTATTATCCCTAGCTCAAAAAATGACGAAAATATTAGTTTTTTGGTAATATTTAACGCCTTGGGGATTAAAGGACGCATTTAATTTCTGGGCGTCAGGGGTATTTCAAAAGCCCGTACAATGAAGGTTAGCTAAAAGAGATTTCAGCATTCATTCGGACCTTAGTCTTCGCAGTGTCCTGGTTCACTCATACATGCTTACATCTATTTATTTATTTATTTTTCCCCTGAAAAAATAGAGGGATCGACCACGCCTTGTTCAGTCGCATTTCCCTGGACGTGTGCGAAGCGCTGACGTATCTGCACGGATTTCTTCCACCGCTGATCCACGCGGACGTGAAATCCGCCAACGTTCTTCTCGACTACCATTCCAGAGCCAAATTGGCCGATCTCGGCTTCACCGATCCCAGGTGAGAAGACGCTCTACGACCGGCCGCACACTGGTGAAACATGTTTCAAACATTCAGCCACACACTAGAGAAACGTGTACATGTTCAAATTACAAAAAAAATACTGTCAAACTCATGCTAGTCGAGGAGTTGACGTTGGACGAGGAGGACGTTATTTTATCTTGGTTATAGACCAGGCAAAGGAAACGTCAATGGCAATGCCGTCATTTGATACACCCTATAAATGCACGGCGGCGTGAACCCTTCCACTGGTTGTTCCGAGATTTACGAAAAGATCCGGAACGTATGCCCCATATGTGCCGAATGTCAGAGGCAAGTTTCGAAACCATCTTGGAGCTCGTCTCCCCTGCTATAGACAAGAGTGACGCGAACTCTCGCAAATACAGATTTTTTTCGAATTCGAAAATTTATGGCAATTCTGATTGACTTTTCTCCAAAAGAAATTTGTCTTGAACTCTGAAGTCCTTCATTAGATGCACACTCTCTCAATTAGGTAATAGAAGGAACAAAATTATTTGTTCTTAAATTCTCCAACCATTTCCACCTGGTTCTTTGGAAGGTCCCGATTTGCAGGATCGTAGATCCTTGGGTACTTCTCGATGCACTGCCCTGTTTTTATTTTTCTTGGACTCCTACCTTCTTCATCGCTGGACAAATCCTCGGCAAACTTGCGAGCTCAACCGATGAAGCAGCGTTGAAGCATATGCAAAAATAATCAAAGCGCTATCCTGAGAAGCATGTATGATACATGCATGATACATGCTTCACGAAAATGTTTTATCAGTGTGCTTATCATGAATCATGCCTTTTTCCATTTAGGGGGGGGAAAGCCTTAGGACACGGTGAAATTTTCAATCTAACATTTTTAAAGTAAAAATGTTCCCTCGCGGTGATTCATTTGCGAGTCGATCACAGTTTGCCATGGAAATGCGTGTAAATATGATTGAGAAAAGTTTTTCATCTGTCCATGTACGAATGAACCGTCGATTATATCCAAGTTGAATGGAACGCAGAGTCCTTTCATGGAATGCAAGGAAGTAGGCCTGGCATAGATGTCTTGAAAAGCCAGTTCTTGACCTCCCCGGTCATCGCATAAAAGGTATCTCCTTCCAAAGCCCCCGAGTAAGGCTGATCGATGAAGCATGGGTGCCTTTTGAAAAGGGTCCCCTTTTCAAGCCACGCGATCCGGGCATTGATCACCCGAGCACATACACACAGACGCCCCGTTCCATTCCAGAGCCCAGGAGGCGAGCGGTTGGAGGGGGAGGCGACCCAAGGGGGCCCTCCCCCTCAGGGGCACCCCAGCGTGGATGGCCCCCGAGATCATCCTGGGCATCTCCCCCACGACGACCAAGTCTGATGTGTACAGCTTTGGGATGCTCCTGTGGGAGATGGGAACCCGGAGCATCCCCTTCCTCTCCTTGTCCCCGCTCCAGGTATTTATGGAGTTGCTTCAGGTTTTAATGCAGTTGCAATTGATGTAGTGGGAAAGAAGTAAAAAAAAAAGGCCTATACGCTTACGTGTTCGTGTGAGACCTGGAATTCTTCTACCTTGAATGACAGGAATGGGTTTTATTATCGTTCCTTCCATATTCAACGTTTCTTACCTAAGTCTCACCCTAACTTACTAGTCCACGGGAAAATGACTTCGTCGCCCTCCACGATTCGACTGAAAGAGAACCTCGGAAGACCATGGAACTGTAGAAGGACCTACTATATGGCCTTCCAGATGAGGTCAGAGTAAGATCAATGCTCTTATCTGAGACCCTAAGCAATCGTGGCAGAAATTGCAAATTCGCTCTGCTTAGATTCCTATCTGAAGGAATACGAAAGAATAGGACTCAGGCGACCAATCATCGGGGAAAAGATCATGGGATTCAGGGGGCTGTTCCCCGCCTCTGCTAAACTTAAATTTAAATATAAATATAAATCTTAGGCTAAATCTTAGTCTAAATCTAAATATTTTACTTTTAGGTTGCTTTTAGAGTAGATTAAGTGTAGGTTTAGTTTAGATTTAGATTTAGGTTTAGACTAATATTTAGATTTAGATTTAAGTTTAGCAGAGGCGAGGAATTGGCCCCAGGATTGAAAATTTGTGTTGGTCTCAGCCCTGCTACGTGCGGAGTCTTTTTTATCACTGAAATATAAGTAAAATCTCTCACTGCGAACAATATATTAGATAAACATACGAGGGATTTGTTATTATTATCGTATTTAACGGGTCGAAATTCGTAGATGAGCTGATAAGATTATGACGCTCATCGAACAAACTACCTCGAACAATGCGGTCGAGATTTGCTGATGGGATCGCGAGCAAAAAAATGCAAGAAAAAAATAAGTTCTCAAGGGAGCGTTTTGCGATGGAAGTTCAAGGTTTTTTCTGGTTGCCTCGTTTCCAAATCCATTTTCACAGGTGCTTTTTCCGTGCAACCATTGCCATGAAGAAAAAAAACGTAATTGGTCTGTTTCATCAAAATGCTGACTCAATGTGTCATTTTTTCCGGTCCAGTGATGGCTAATGCTGTACTCGGACCGCGAACGACTCTCAAGTTTAAAAAAAAAAAGATAATAAAAAGTGGGGGAAAAGCAAGGTTTCACATCAGCTTCATCAGATCGATCCATTAAATGCCTGATTGCATTTTTGTATGTGTGTCTGTGTGTTGAACGATAAAGATCCAGGAAAAGGTGGGGAAGTCCAGAAGACCGGGGTTCCCAGACACGTGTTCCCCCTCCGTTAAGGATCTAATCACGGAATGCTGGAAGCAGCGAGCATCGGATCGACCGACATCAACCGAGGTGTTTAAAAAGCTGCGAGTACTGGCCCTGCCCCAGAGATGGCAGGAGCTATTGAATTCCCTCGGCTGGACCGAAAGAACCCTGGAACACGTGGATGCGTTCCGCACCTTGATGGCCCTGATCGAGGACATCACCGAGACGCTCCGAACCAGACAGGATCAGGAAGACGAGAATCGAAATCCAGACATTCCTTTTATCAAGATCGAGCGGGAACCGAGGGACGAGGACGCGAAGGGAACCTGGGCCCTCTTGGAAAGATTCAAGCGAGGCTTCGTCCAGCCCCGAGACAGGTTCGTGGCGCCGGGCATGCTCGCCGACATGACTCAAGAGGGACTGGAGCTGATCAAAGAAGTCCTGAGCGCGACGGAAGCCTCCCCGTCCTCCGCCTCCGGCTCCTCGACCCCCTCCGAACTCTCTTCGACCTGCGTCTCCAGCGATCAAGTAGAGTCCACATTGCCGTGAGAGGGATGTGCAATGCGGTTGAGATTGAATTAAAGTCTTTTTTTGTAGTCCGTGTCATTCACAGCGCTTTCATCTGGAGCGAATCGGAAGGGGGTCACATTCGGATCACATACGCGATACTGTCTACTGCTAGGTAGTGCAATCTTGGCGTATCTCGCGCTATGAAACTGGTAACCTTAGACCTTCGATGTCGCACTTGCCACCAGAGTTCCACTTCTCCTGTCTCGTCGAGTCGTCATACCACTGTCGGCCCTCCTTCTGGAGGTAGAGACGTGGCTGGATGACATGGATTTCCGGTGGGCGCTCTACTCGCACCGCTCCCGCCAAGTTACTGCTCGCACAGATAGCTGCCCACCACTGCGTCAAAGGATGTGTGTAAGATATGAGTCGATATGAGTACTGAAGCAACTAATTGCTAGCTCACCTACGAAGTCACCTTTTTTTTATCCATGAGAAATTCCTATTCGCTGATCGACTCACCATATCACGCATACAAATGTTATGTGCTAGAGCATGTGAATCTTTAGAAGATTGAGGGCAACAGAACAGAACAACAGTCCCGTCACTGAAAAAAATTCATGGGCTAAAAAAAAAATTGTCTTCACAGTTCTCAGACAAGCAACAGCAACTTTATTAAATGCGTTCTTTAATGTCATGGGTCCCCCCCCCAGACAGGGTATTTAATGAGTATGTAAGCGATACTTGATAAGTGTGGTGAAAGAACTTGATAACTCAAACTGGCAAAAATGTTTGCATGGTGCTCAGGTGTTCGACTGCCCTTTAGGACGTCCTATGAGCAACATTTGAACCCGAGGTAGATTTGATTGATATGCCGTGTCTCCCAATTAATTTCGTTGTACCAGTCATATTCTTTCTTGTTCCAGATGTAACCATCAATGCCTCATTTTAAAAATTGTGAAGGCACAAAGGTAATAAAATTTCATTATGGCATAAAAACTAATGCTGCTCCAATGCGTCCTTATTAACCCAGATTGACAACTTCAGAGAGCAATTCCAAAGGAACTCCTAGAACAATATTACAGTTATGAAGCCATTATGTAATAAGTCCCCTTAAACATCTTATGGAATCAAAAGAAATAGCCCTGGAAGGAGAACTTCAAAGCAGTCACTATTTGTTCCGCTCCCATGATAAATCCACCATGATAGCTCTTTCATCATTCGTAAAAATTGCTGGTTACATCTGGAAAATAAAGGCACATCCATATCTGAGGAATTATCAGAAGTAATTAAATACACTTTTTTCTTGGGACACAAGTTATCACGTCAGATCCTGTGTAAATATCACCACTCACCACCCAGACAGGTGAAGAAAAAAAACTTGATTGTCTCAAGAATACATCAGATCTTTGAAGTTCCAAGACTAGCTACGTGAACGGTGATGGGCACGAAGAGCCCCACGGATGAGATGGTTACTGGAATAACGCAGGGTAGACTTCACTTTCTCCCTGATGCCATTGTGGGTTGTCAAGTTGCTCCACCACATCTCGCTTTTATCCAATGTCTCTTTTACGTAACGGGTAGGCTGCAACGAAGGCTGTAACGAAGCTGGTTGACCCATCCATGGCACGATACAGCGGCGAATGCGATGGTTCGAACATTCAAAGGAGATTCTCACACTAGAAGCAACGACGACGAACTCCACGGAACCGCCGCACTTCTCATTTAGATTTCTTATCGTTCGCTTTCGGGTCCCCGTCGGAATCTTCGTCATCGGTCCGGTTGTCGTTGATATCCTTCTGAAAATGGAAAAACTCGTGAACGAATGTCGCAAGGAAGTTCCCGAATCCCGAGTCGAGGACAGACCTTATGAACGGCAGTGTTGTAGATGATGCGGAAGATGAGGTAAGTCCAGTAGATGTGAAGCCCCAAGAGGGACCATAGAAGCACGACGAGAGCATGGGAGATAAAGCAGTCCCCGTGACGGGCTCTATCCCATCCGAGTAGGCCTCGAGTCGCCCTGGACGGGAGAGAGCTCGGTCAGACCGGGTCACACGACTTGCGCGCTTCTCACCCCTCTTTTTGTGCTGGCGTCATGGACGTCGTCTGCTGAGTCGTCCACGAGGCTCTTTTAAGACTAGGGCAACGTGAGTACATGGCATGCACCACGGAGTTAATGTCTCAGCAAGTTCCAGGGTTGTAATCTTTAATTTTGTCACGTCACTGCCAAGATCATTAGGAACAATTTTTGAATATGCTGTCTCAGCATTTCATATCAGGAGGCTGGTCAATAATTCTAAACTGGTCATAGGCCATTGTTACACTTCCTCGAAAGAAGCCGATATACTGATACGCCTCTGCGTCACTATTCAAGCCCATCAACCCCTTAGATTTCAGCAGACGACGCTCCTGACGTCACCACAAAAGCCAGGTGAAAAGTGTCGGGTCATACGGAGGCTGGGGGACTTACGGGATGGTGACGTAGAAGGGGTAATATATGAGGCGGGGGAAGATCCATGCAACGCAGAACAGCAAGAAGACTTTGCGAACGGTCGCATCAGGCTGCTTACAATATATCAACAGCTTCGCCAACTGCGAAATATATATACAATGGCGTAAGGCAATCGAACGGCTGCGCATGAGTCGCGCATTTTACGCTACTTCGGGTTAGGGAAATATATATTTTACAATGGCAGGGGAAAAAATAATTGGAAAATTAGTCCCGCTTCTCTCGCATAAAAAAAAATGAACCAATCTAAATTTTAAAATGTATCCTAACACCACGTCGATCAATGGAGAAACTGCAGATTAGAACTTTCTCATTCTAGAACCAGAGCTGGCATTAGGCGAGTTTTGGGAATGGCACGAAAGTGAAGTCTAAGCGACTGCTAAAGAAGCTTAGGCAATTTTCCTCCATGCGCACCAACCTGCCAATTTACGTCCGTATGACCACGCCCCCCTGCCCATTGTCTCGTGCAGTTATCTTCTCTGATTCGGGGCAATTTGCCTTCCGAATGCCACCGCTCCTTCCCTGTTGCACGCACGGACACGAATGATGGGAGACGTGGCACTTCCCTTCACCTTTCGACGGATGGGAAGAGACGTGGTATGGGGGGGGGGGGCAGCCGTTACAGCGTGGAAACTGCAGGAGCCGCCGGGTTGGGATGTGGTCCGACCTTTTTTCAACCTCGTTATAACGTTTCCATGCCATTCGTTTATGCCATCATGGCAAAAATTTGCAGTTAGTTGCATAATGGTTCGGTGCAAATGGAGAAAATGCCGGGATATTATCTGAAGTTAGAAATTATGGTAAACACTAGGCAACATCCTGCGTTGTGAAAAAAAAAACCCATATTTAAAAAAGGGTGACGATGTATCATGACGTATGATCTTGCAACTATCATAAAAGGACCCAACTTTCGTCTCCTTCACTCTTTTCCCTCAGGAGAAGATCCGCCACCGACGGCCCCCACCCGGCGGCACCACGACGCCCATTCACAACCATAACAACCCGAGCCAAACCTGCAAGGTCTACCGAAAGGACGCATCGGCACCTGAAGGAAGACGTGGGCGCAGTCGTGGACTAGAAGGACGAGGGAGCCGACCCGCGTGGCGCCGACCGTCCAGGACCCCACCAGGAGACTGATGGTGACCACGTGGTGTGTCGTCTGCGCCAGGAAGTCCTTCCTCTTCGCGTCGAAGGGCAGCGAGAGGAACAGGCAGATGTAGAATCCCAGCTCCAGCATGTAGTACCACCACACATCCTCCGTCAGGGTCTGCGCATTTAACGAGACGGATTTGGTGATGAGTGACTCGTGTTTCGCTTTTCAAACATATATTTTGCAATTCTCTTGCGGCGTAACTTCAGTGTCAGGTCAGCTTGTCTGGACTACAAAATATTCAGGAAAGGTAAAAAAATTCCGAATATCGAATACCGAAAAATTGTTGGCTGCGTTCAGGGACAGGGCTTCCTCTGGAGCTTTCGATAGACAAAAAATCACCAGTACACAAGAAAACGCAAAAAAAATAATCCCCACCGGTACATTGCAATATTGTTTTCTTTCATTGAAGCTCAATTACCAAGCTGCAAGGAATCTGTGCTGAGATCTTCGAGATCTTGCAAAGGCAAATTCTTCTTGAATAAACATCCGCGGAAAATGAGAGGACAGGCTGTCAGAAAGTCGACAGCGGGGTCCCTCGATTGCATCCTCTTCGAAATCAAACTTCAAGAATAGTAGTTAGTCAATGACATAAGTTAATGACATCGGAGAAATATGAGGATCTCAACTCTCGTTTCTCTGAAAGCATGACGTGGGAATAGGCGTGTGCCAAAAACCAACCCCAATCGGAGACTTGATGATGGAGGACTCCAAGGACTCATAACGGTAGTCTCTTATCATCAATATTAAGACGTGCCTGGAATGAGCCTACACTGGACTAGGCATAACATACACAGCAGTAGAAACATTTTACGAGCGCGCGAAACCCATTTCGCTCTCGAGATGGCACTTAGATCCATTTTCACCTCAGTGAGAAGCAGACCCTTTCACGATTGCCTGCTTATCTGCTTGCTTTGTCTATGAGGATGACATGCACCGAACGTGCATTGAGGGTCTGCGATGGTGGCCAGGGCGCCTTCCAAAACCCGCTTTCTGTTGTAACTTGGGTCGAATTTTGTGTTTTACTGCAGCTGTGAAAATTTTTAACGATTCGATTTTCACGCCCGGGGATTCTCGTTTAAGCTTTTATGCCACTACAGTCTCAAGCAAAAAAATATATATATATAGGAAGCATAATGAGACGGAATTGTCTTCATGCAAGTTTACGCTTCCACGGTGAAAAAAAAGGGGCATAAAATGTGCAAATTCCTTCTGAAACTTGACAGTCTTAATGGTAAAGCACTAAAATAAATAGGGGCACAACTGGTACATATAATCCACGATCCAGCAGCAAATTTTATCAGTTCCGAATCTCATTGAAGACTCAAAGGAATTTCAACGGTTTTTCTCCTTACGTGGCTAAAGAAACGATTCTTTAATGAATATAGGTGAGTCCGAAGGACATCAAAAGAATGGAGGTCAAATTTAACCAGCAGTACTGAAATGATCACATGATAATCACGATTATGTCGCCTGACCAATAATTTTGCCGATGTTGCTGATAATGCTGCCATGCAACCGCAATTAAATGAGTGGTAGCGCTTCTCATTGGGGTAAAAAATCAAACATTTTCCAAGGAATCTACTAGCAGAGTTCCATGACTTACTTTACAATATTTCCAAAATGCAATAAATTCGCAATCACATTTAATAAAATACTGATGGATTTTGGAAAGGCTCGATGACCTTCATAATGCTTTTCCATGGGATATGACGCAACTACGAGGAAAATACACAGCTCAATATTTGAAGGGTGTCGCTATCAATTTCGCGGATGGCGATGAAGATGATAAAATATGACGCATATTGATTGCATGTACTCGAGCCCACTTTATACCCGATCGTTTGATGGCCCACTTGACTGCAAACAAATGATCCAGGCTGCATGAAACAAAATGATAGGCGCAATATAACCTTCACAGGCTTTTATGACAGTGATCCACTTCACAACGTTTAGTGGCGCATTTGTTCTGCTACAGCCTTGACAAAGGAACCGATTGTACTAATCCACCGTGACGGATGTGCGTCGCTCTTTGGGAATGACCTCTTCACTCATCTTCAATATAACAAACGAAAATTAAATTACCCTTGCCTTAGAAAAAAAACCTCAAACTGGGCAAAGCTTACGGTACGAACGAGCCTCCTTCAACGCAACATCATAAAATACAGGTGAGACAATACGAAAGGTGAAGAACAAGAGAGAGGAGGCGAGCGGAACAGGATGTCAATTGCGCCGTGCTCCTCTGTCAAAGCACAGTAATAGCATATTTACATAGGCTAGATAAATGTTCAATATAGAGGCTATTGCAATGTTTTCAAACCCTCGATGAACTACGCTGTGGAGTGTTAAAGATAACTCACGATTTTTTTTGGCCCACTCTGTACTTCATGATAAAGCTATTACAACAAGGTGAGGCAGGTAAAAGATAACTGAAAATGTATTTCTTATTTGTGTAATCTATTATGTTGCAGGCAAGGTTCAGTAAGTGCCCTGCATATTCAACACGCGATAGTGCACCGTGGTGAAAATAATAACTGAATTCGCAATGTGCTATAGTGAGTAATATATAAGATGCAACGTTCTGATTACTGAATCGCAGTTTCAGTTACCTTCTTTCTACCTCAACCCTGTAGATCGAATTTTATTTCAACGAAATGTCAAGTTCATCAAATTTGTGAAACATGGTAAAAAAAAATGTTTTGTTTGAAGCAACTATATTCTCGCAACCTTTGATGTTAGCCGGCGCTTATATGTATAATGACTGAGACAGAAACAGAAAGAGACAGAGAAAGAGAGAGAGAGAGAGAGAGAAACACACACACACACAGCGGCGCAGCGTCGGTGGGGCCAGGGGGTGGGCACGTGCCTCCCTCCCCCCTCCTTCCAAGAAAAGAAACCAAAAGAAAAAAGAATGAAGACCCATAAATACATTATGACAGTATTCCCTCGACTTTGTCCCATGGCCTCCCTTTTCCATTCACGCTATGCTTATGCACACACACACGCAGTGACACCACATTATCACACGTGCGCACATGGAAGTGATAATAAGCAGTCTCATCGTATTGTAAATAAAGGAGGCTCGCTGATAGGAAGGAAAGTATCGGCAGCTGATTGTTAGTCCATACACAACGCAAATATCAGGTTACCCCACCCCACCTCCTCTTCCTAACACTCCTCAATGAAGAAAAGGAAGTTTTCTCTTGATCCTTGGAAAACGCAAATACGGGACATGCACGTCCAACTTTTGAGGCCCATGAGACGCTAAATCCCTAATAAATAAAAAAAATCCACACGAAGCAGTTTTCGACCTTGGTCTTGTTTCATGCAGATGAATGCGTAAATACGGGGTGGCACACATTATTTAGCCTCCCATTGGTGAAACTTTGATGGAAAAGCACTTAAAATCTGGAAAGTATATAGATTTTGAGCTTGAAGACACGTCCAATACATTTTTTAGGTCCTTGCGGTTGTCTACTGGTGGGCATTCCAAATTTCGAAAACAGGTCAACAAAATCGTTGAAAAAAATTTTTTTCCGAATATAAATACATTTCCTCGCTGAAACTACACCGGTCTGCCTCGCAGGAAAGAGGGAGAATCAAACTATTGCGTGCCGCCCTGTATCTCTTTCATACTTCATTAGCTCGTCGATCCATTATCCTCCAGAAGCTGACGATCGAACTGCTTATCTACAATTCACGAACACGGATGAGCATGACGTCAAACAATCCTCAATAAAACAATGAAGTCGAGCGGGACGAACGGCGAGATGACTCGTCCCGAAGGGACTCGATGCCAGCGATCCGCTCACTGCGCGAAAGGCTGCCGGAAGTGCCGGCTGGCTGCGTATTCGACGCGAGGGGAATAGCATATTCGACGCGGAGGAACAGTGGATTAGACGCAATATGGGGGCGTATACGAAGGGAGAAATCCATTAGGGGTGGATCTTACATGGAAGGGGAGATCGACGAAGCACAAATGCGTGTCTCTGAGCCAGGGCTTGTCTGCCATCGTCCATGCCCCATAGAGGAAGAGAAAACTGTACGTCACGAGCCGAAACCTGCGGCAAGAGGGATCACAATTATTTGTCGCCCAGAGCCAACCTTAAATTTTTGCTAGTTGAAGCGAAGACCTTGCTTTCGGGCTTTGGAGGCCCGAAAATTCTGACAATATGTCATCCCATATTAAGAATAGTAACATTTTGGTAAATACAATTTTCTACAAGATAAAGTACCAAATGATGGGACTCACATTGTCTCCTTTATCTTCCGGTATTTGAGTTGGGCCTTCTCGAGTGCCGTGCGATCCTTCTCATTCGTTTGCATCCATTTCCCGCCAGCAGATGGCGATCCACCATTCTGTTAGCAACAAAGCCAGACGCACGGATGAATCACGATCCACACCGCACAACCTTTTAAAAGCCTTCCCCCCCGACTCACAATATGTCTTTCCACCTTCAACTTCACCGGAGCAGGGGCAAGCATCGGCACCATCGCCTTCGCCAGTAAATCCACTCCATACCTAATCACGAACGAAAAATACCCCTCACACACAGACCTGCAACCTCCCACAGAACCCAAAAGGGCCACTCACACTTCCAGAAAGACCCGAAAGAGCAGGAACGAGACGGAGATCGGCAAGACGTAGAGAAGGTGCTGAAACTCCGGCATCGCCCTCCCAGGCCCGGACTTCATCTCCTCCCAAGTGGCATTCCGCGGCAACCAAACCTCCTCCCTCCAAAAAAAGGCCCATAGCTTCTCCAGTCCCTCCATTCAGTACTTCTCCGGACTGCGGATCGATCCGGTCCGCTCCTCAAGACTTCCTGCTCTCGGGCACACAGTGCATCAGACGTGAAGCGCGGCGTGAAAACGATCAAAACCGCCCACACAGGCCACTCACACCACGACACTCCACACCCTTTCAACTCTGTCCGCGACAGAGGAAACGACCAATCCGGCAACACTGTTCCCGCGAAAACAAGGTCACCTTACTACGTGAACCCGATTCCAATTCCGTCTCCCTCGGTCCATCTTCGTATCTACAGATCTCACTCTAATTTAGTGCGCAGGCGCTCGCAGTGCCATGTTGCAACCAGCATGCGATGGGGAGGCGTTTCTGCTCTTATTGACATCTGAGTCGAGACAGGCACTCAATAATATAAGCCTATCCTTCGAAAGATTATATTTCGGTGAGATAAATATTTCAAATCTGTTGCTTCAGAGCTTCGGCCTCAAATTTTGAAATGGGCTCAGCAGTTACTTTTCCACGTAAGAATGTTTCCAACGAATTTTCCAACATAAATGTCAAGTTTTTTACGGACCCAACGTGTCGAGATGGGTGAAGACGTGCCGACGAGTGTTCAGATTAACTTCCAGGAGTACCGAAAGTAATTATCAATGCCCCTAATGTGAAGATAATCGCGCCGATATGGTAACGGGTGGCCTGATGATTCCCACGGACTTCATATCCGCCGGAACGCAAAAAACGCGGCCATGAAAGGGGGAGTGCGACCTCCCGATGGAACGGCAGGCACGCCTCCTCCAATGGCGGGCGGGCGGGGAGTGTGTGCCAGGCAGGGAACGGCAGAGATGGAGGTCCCCACGGACGAGGCACTAGAGTGCATGAGAACGATGACGATGTTAAAATAAGGCCTCATGCGGGGAAACATGACTCGATGAGATCTAATTTTCGTATCATTCTCTTCCTGCAGCAGCGTCCGTCTGTTTGCGGATGCATCACAGGCCTAGGCCTACTCGCCGGTCCGGGCGAGGCACGGACACGGACTAACGTTAAGAACTCATTTGCGCAGATGCGTAACGGGTTAACGTTAGGTTCGACAGGCGTTTCTGGATTTAGGCCTAAAGTAGGCATAGGCGACACTCACGGTTGGCCTGGTCGGGGGGCCTAGGCATGAGAAGCAGACACCCGGCTCCGTGGTGCGGATGGGCCCATCAATGGCGACGGATGGAGGCCCTGGTGCATCGGAGCGGAAGCTCGAATGCAACAGGGCCGGTCGTGGCGGTATGCACTATGCGCTGGAGTCTCTGAGGCCGGGGAGCACGTGCGAGACGGTGAGTTTCGTCATCCCGACTTTTTTTATTTCGTTTTCTTGAGGTTTGTTCTGTTTTCGTGGAATTTGGGGCCGTGTGCGAACACGTAAAGGCGATGCACGAGGCGATCCAGCCTGCGCATGGCCGGCTCCACCCTCGGCGCCGATGAGCGATGGAACCCCGGGGCCATGACTCACTGGCCACGATCGCGGCTCACCCGAGTCACACCGGGGCCACGATCGCGGCTCACCCGAGTCACACCGGGGCCACGATCGTGGCATACCCGAGTCGCACCGCAACGACTCGCAGCCGTCGGGATCGAATCCGAAAGCCCCCGACGTGACGCCGTCATGTCGCCCGGGTGAGAAAGAGCACGTGGAGGGAACACGGTCGGCCCTGAGCATCACGGTCGGCCCTGAGAATGGGGGTCGTCGGGTGCGAGACCGAACGTGAGAACCGCAAAGCGAATGCGAGCGAGCCATCTGTGCGTCTTCGGTCGCATGTGGCGTCTGACGCCGAACCGCGGAGGTCGACCCGTAGAGGTCAACCGTAGAGGTCACCGCCGGACCCCGGAATCGATGCGCTCCCGTAGGTGAAAGCCGGATGCGAACCATCCCGGTGACGCATGCCGTGCGGTCCCGGATGCGACAAAAATCCCTCGTATTCCATGATACCATAGGGCGTCATCCTATGGATGACGTCCTTGGATCGTCATCCCAACGACCGGATGTCCCTTTACGAGCGTGGAAATGAAAGGCGGGAGGGGGGGGCATGTTGGATCGCCGAAACATAGCTTCGTAAGCGCTATGAGGAAGGACGAAAAATTGCGGCTTCACGATCTCCATTCTAGAGCAATGCTCATAAGCGCCGCCTTCCCCCTCTTTTCCCCTTCCCCCCCCCCTTTCCCCCCTCCACCCATTGTTCTGGAGCATCCCAAAGCTATGTCGATGCGCCTATTCGAAAAGTCGCAAATCCCACAAAAAGACACCCGATGAAAGTTGGAGCTCCTGAAGTAGCTGCCCCTCTCTCGACATGCGCCACCGCCCCGCGTCGACGGCGAAAGACCAAGGAACGGCGAAACATTCCCTCTTCACCTCTTCCCCCTCACGACCTCCCCCTCCCCCCCACCCCCTCACGAACCCCCTCTTCCCCCTCCACCCCCTCACCGAATAGGTTCACTCCCCCTAAATAAAAAAAAGACACTCACCCTCGTCGAAAGATGCGACGATCGCCTCGTCGAGAGCACGCTCGCAGAGAATGCCTCGGACGAATGACGCAGATGCTCCCCGTCCTTCGCTCCCTATACGCTCCCCATACGATTCAGCGGAGCAAACGAGGCATCCTTTGTTTATTGTCGCTCATCGGTAGGGCCGCGAGTTCTCACGAATCGCGGCGTGGCGGAGCGGCTAGGCCATCTGGCTCAGTCATCCGGTTCCATCCGACTTGCAGGAATGAAACGATTCACGTGCGTTGCATGTGGCCACCTTGCATTCCTCCAGGACCTACACCCTCATTCGTGGCATTGAAAGCCGAGGCCACCCTATCCTATCACGACAGTCGCAATGTAGTCGCAATTCAGTCGCAATTCAGTCGCAATTCAGTTGCATAACGGAATAACTCGAACCGCCGAGTTTGTAATTTCTCACAACATTGCGGCGCTCCAGAAAATGTGACAATTCTTCATTCAGGACAACATCGATGATGATTTATTTTCCAGTTTCAGTTTTCGCTTTTCAGCTTCAATACGCTTCGAGTGCTTGGTACAATAAACGTATCTCTGTTCTCACTCCAACCCAAACATTTGAGGGGGGGGGGGGGGGGGGGGGGG